ACACAATGTGAAGAGCAAAAGGAACCAAAAAAATCCATTCTCTCTGGCGGCTGCAGGCCTGCAAAGAAATTGACCAATCACAGCCATCCGGTCCGCATGGGAGTTACTCCTTGCTCAAATTTGCACTCTCTCTCTCTTACCCTGCATCCAATCCCCTCGCTCCATTTTGACACTCCTCTGCTCCTCGTCCCGCCTCGTCCCAACCCCCCTCCGCATTTGAAAGTTAGAGCGGTTTGTAAGGCCCTGAGCGATTCAGCTACACGAGCTTCGATATGGAAAATACAGAGAGCGACAGCAGCAAGTGGCCTCTGCTTGCCCCACCGGCAAAGGCCGAAAGGAAGCGTAAGTCTGCCCCTGAAAAGGCAGAAATGAAGAGGAAATGCGACAAATTGAGGGCTCAAAGCAGAGTAAACATCGGGTCATCCTTTGACCAATGGAGAAAGCTCCGGCAAGACCTGGGCCTGAAAAGTGATGCTGATACAACGGAGTTTTTGTTGAACAGATAATATTTCGTTTTTATTGTGGATGTTGTGACATAGATAACTGTATGCCAATGCTGGCTTTTGACTGTGAAAGCTGCTGTTAGTTTTTTGTGTGGTTAGACGGCGTCGAAACATTTTTTGTCTGCAATATTGTCAACACTTGTTTACTTGTTCGACGGAGACGTTAGCCTTATTTTTGGCATTGTAAGCTACAATTGCTATCATGTTTACACATTGTCACATCAGCATGTTTATGTGTCGTTAGGAGGCTCCGAGGGGTGGGGGACACGAGATCGGAGGGGAGGGATCATGGAGCACAGAGGTGTGTGTGTGTAGGGAGGAATGCTTTTTTCAAATCATTCTCATCGTCTTTCTAAACATAGACCATAGCTTTAAGGCGGTGGGAGTAGTGGGAGATGGGTCCAGCAAACACCAGCTCTCACCTGGGAGAGCGGTGTTTGCATCCCCGTAAGATTAAAAGCCAGACCCTGTTCTTTTTTCCTAAACCTAACCATGTGCGTTAGTTGTTGGAGCAGCCATTAAACCACAGAAGAAGAAGGAGCCGTGTTTACGAGTAGGATTTAAGAAACAGGCTAAATGACATGTAGTAGGGAGTAGTGAATGATTTCGGACACATTGCACACTCTTGTACAGTAGATGGTGGTATGCACCTGGAAGTGGAGAGAGCTGAGAGATTTGAAAGGTTTTAAAACTGATCCCGAGTTGGCCCTTTTCCTAATCGACAGGTATGTAATTTTTGTTTTTATTTAGAGAATATACCGCAACTTGTTAGACGTCGTTTCACTTCAATATATGACAACATGGAAGTTATAAGCAAGCTAAATGTAACGTTAGCTGATGTGAACCGCTTTTGTCTAGTAACGTTACAACAAACGCCACAAAATTATCTGTGACTGTGACCATGAACACAAATATACAGCAGGCAGTTGTTCTCAGTTTATAAGAAATTCAGAGCTACACCAGAACATTTATGATTTTCCTCTCGCTCTCCAAAACAAATGCATGCGGTAATTGCCGGTTGCAGTCGAGATTTTATGAATGAAGCCGAATGCCGACTGCAGTCAGAATTTTACAACACCAGGCTGTGGGTGTCATACCGCTTTGACCAAAGGGGACACTATAATCAACGAAAACGTATGGATGGTGATTTTGCTGTTGTTAATGAAGTCTTTATTATTTCCTTTTCAACAGGTGTGATCACTGTAACCATGCTGAAGGTAGCACTTGTGCTTGGATGCCTCCTGAGCCTCGCTCTGGCTCATCCTGTAAGTGTAACACTGTCATACTCGATACCAGTGTTCTGACACCACTTTAACTGTGATAGTATAATGTTGGTAACATTAAACTTGTGGATTTACTACAGGTGGAGCACAAACGACTTGCTCGGTCTAGCTCCAACTCTAACTCGGAGTCCAATGAGGTGAGTGCTTTCTCTCTCCTCTACAATTCAGCATTCAGCACACCTGAATGTTAATAACTGTAAAAATCATTTAACATCCTCTTATGCGTATTTGACAATGAATGTTTCTGATTTTCTTGAAGGCTGCTGGGCCACAGACGGTGACGGTGCCAAAATTTTGGCAAGATCTTATTGGCATCCTCAGTAAACTAATAACTCCACCTCCTGCTACTACTAAAAAGTAAAATCTGAAATGTAATCAGAGATCTGACTCAAAGTCCAATGAGGTGAGTGCTTTCTCTCTCCTCTACAATTCAACATTCAGCACACCTGAAAGTCAGTCACTGATAAATTCCTTAGAGACTCCTCTGCTGTACAGCTGACATTGGATGCCTTTGTTTTTCTTTAAGAGTCCCACAACCAAGCCAACCACGGTGACTACTACCACGGCTGCAGTGGATTTCCTACAATGTCTCACAGACTTTCTTAACAACCTGAAAAGTGACATGCTACAAATACTAGTGCAGCTTCTGCTACACAATAAAATCTAAAATGTAATAAGTAGGCTAAATGAAAACCAGTATTGCACGTCATAGGTTTCATTCTAATTGAATCTAACATGTGGATCAAAGACACTTTAAATACACTTCAAAATGGAAAACAAGGAAGAAAAATGTTGGGTTTTCTTCAAATTCAAATGTAAGAAACATTAATGGAGATGTGTAGAAAGATGTGTATCTGTATTCTTAGGTAGGTAGGTAAGGTAGGTAGGTAGGTGGATAGATAAGCCCCTTTTACACTGCCAGATTTTCCATGAATGTTGGGCTGTGTTGCCGGCAAGCTGCAAGCATTTAGACACATAGGGCCGGATTGGCAAGTTGTTCCGAGGTGCCCAATTTTCCACTTCGTAGGGTAGTCATATTGGCGGAACCCTTTTAGTTTAAACAGACCGAGGCCACCTTCCGCAACGGGAGGGGCTGTTGATGACTTGTGGGAGGAGCTGTTGATGAAGCTGCACGTGCGAGCCACTGGCGGTGGATGAACAGGAAACAGCTGATAGCAGGAATGAGCAGCTAGTAGCAAGAGGGAAATGCAAACATGACGGACACTGTAAAGATGAGCAACTGGGGGGACAAGGAATTGTGCACCCTCCTTGCCCTCGCAAACGAAGAGGCCGTTAACCGTCAGATGACGGGGATGGTGAAGAACAGGCCGACTTATGAGAGAACCGAGAGAGTACTGTTTACGCCACACGCTGAGCTACACATTTTACTTGCTCACGCCCCCCCATTGCCCTGAAAAAGGCGCATTCTGTATAAACACAAGTAGGCAGGCGGAATTTTGCTGCACTCCCCGATTTTGTTTTTATACTGCCAATGCTGAAAAAAGACTGATTGGGTTTTCCTACAAATTTGCACAATTCCTATCTAAAAAGGGTTAGAAATAGATAGATAGATAGATGGATGGATGGATAGATAGATAGATAGATAGATAGATAGATAGATAGATAGATAGATAGATATTGTATTTGTACAGCACACACTGTATCTCAGGTTGCCACTTCCTCTGTGAATCAATATATCAGATGTCAGCTTGGCATTTTTAAGTGTTATTAATATTTTTAATTACTTGTGCGTGAAAAGGGTAATTGGCATTCCAGTCTGAAAGATATGGCCGATTATGGAGGATTTTCCTTGGAAAAAAACAAACAAACAAGTAAAGTAAATTCCATCATCACAAATTAATAAAATTAAAAAAACAAAAGAAAAACAAAACTTTTCTTAAATTTGAAAAGCTGAAGGAAAATACACATTTGCAGTCTTTTGTTTTCAGGAAGGACATTTTTGCATCAGCGTTTCGCCTTCCCAATTTTGTAGACTTGCAGATTTTGTTGATTTGGTCATTTTTCCTTGATATTTCTGCTTTTACCAAAAGTAATTATGTTGGCTGTTTAGTTGAATTGTGCTGAGCCATTGTTAAAATAGCTCTGAAATGAATCACATCATTTGATCCAGGTGTGGTTTCCATCTCTGATCAGTAGCCACACCTTGAAATATGGAGAAAGAGGAATTCCCAACAATTCTGAATGCTAATGAGGTGACATGTGCTCCTGTAACTGTATATAAGAAAAGCCCAACATTCAGAGCAGCACTACAACAACCTCCTCGACCATCTGCGAGACACTCTGCTCAAGACTAAAAGGTAATTATATGAATATAATGATTATGTGTGAGGATGGTGGTGATTTTGCTGTTGTTAATGAAGTCTTTATTATTTCCTTTTCAACAGGTGTGATCACTGTAACCATGCTGAAGGTAGCACTTGTGCTTGGATGCCTCCTGAGCATCGCTCTGGCTCATCCTGTAAGTGTAACACTGTCATACTCGATACCAGTGTTCTGACACCACTTTAACTGTGATAGTATAATGTTGGTAACATTAAACTTGTGGATTTACTACAGGTGGAGCACAAACGACTTGCTCGGTCTGAGTCCGACTCTGACTCGGGGTCCAATGAGGTGAGTGCTCTCACTATCCCTCAACATACAACATACCTGAATGTCAGTGACTGTAAAAACCATTTAACATCCTCTTTTGTATTTGACAATGAATGTTTCTGATTTTCTCAAAGGCCAGGCCAAAGCCTGTGCCAGTACCTGTGCCAGTACCTGTGCCAGCGCCAGTGCCGGCCCCAGCCCCAGCCCCGGCTGCCCCGGCTGCCCCGGCCCTCCCGGATTTTGTCAAGAACTTTTTTGATGTGCTTTCCAAACTGGCAACTCCACCTACTCCTCCTAAAAAGTAAAATCTGAAATGTAACCAGAGATTGATGAGTACAGAAAAAAAAAACAGTATTTAATGAGACAGATGTTTGACATGAGCTTTGTTTTGTGTCAGTTTGTCATGTCAACTGTCTCGTTTTCTCTATTCAAATTGTAATGACGTTATCTTAACCATGATGTTGTTACACTCATCATTGTAGTTCACTCAAACATGCAGATCCAAATCACTTTATTCTCTGTACTATCTGCACAATAAACTTCATAAATAGAAAACGTGGACCAGATGTGTTTGTGTTTGTTTCTCAAACATTAATGAAGTTGTATAGGAAGGTGTGTATCATACAAATGATTAGATATGTACATCATAATAAAGCAGCATAAAACAGAGCTCAGGAATCACATCCAGTTTCAACACCTTCACTGTTTCCCAACACCTGTGAGTGTCTGACTCTTTGAAGGACTGTGGTCAGAAGGAGCCACCACATGAACAGGTTTCATCAGATTATATTTGTACAGCACATGTTAGGTTGTTGTTTACTCTCCATTAAAAAGATTAAAATCAAGTGTGGGAGGTACAGCTGACTTTTTTCAGTTATTAGTCCAAATAAAGGTCTGTCAATTAATGTCTTTTTATGAGCTGCAACTTGCTTTGAATAATAAAATCAAAAAAACATTTGAATCAGTAATTGGGATGTAAGATTATTCACTGATGTTTTATTACATGTCCCATGTAGTGTTCAGTGTCTACCACAAAACGTACAATTAATCACAGTAACTGAGAGTACACTGCTGTCCCTTTTCCCTCCCTTGTAGATCTGCCCAGGTGTGCTGCATTACTTAACAAGGTGCAGTGCACCTGGCATGGAGGAGGTGCTTCAGAGCTCCTGTGCCAGCAGCAGAGGAGAGAGGCCTCCGGTGTGGGGACTGCTGGTCCTGCTGCCTCCCAGCATGGGATTTTTGTTGTCTTGTTTGCTTGTTCTACCTGTAAGTGCTTTTTGAAGTGTTAATGTGGTTATTTTGGGTCAGTGTTGGAGTTTTGTTCGCCCCATAGGGCCGCCGGGTGGGGCTCAACACTTCGGCAGTGACTTGCGGCATCAGACGGGGACGAAAAAAGCCTTGCTTTAACGTAAGCATAATACACTGCTGGTCATTGTTATAGTTTAAGGGCACTCAGCTCTCACCTGGGAGAGTGACGTTTGCGTCCCATAAGATCATAAAGCCAGACCCTGTTCTGTTTTCCTAAACCTAACCACGCATGTTAGTTGTTGGAGGAAAGAAAACATCAATTTGCGGTGTTGTACTGACGTAGTGTGTTTTTATTTTGAAAGAGACAGTACGAGAACCTAACCTATGTAACTTTTCTTGCCCAAACTCTAACTACCAAACTTTACGTTAAGTATGTAACATGAAAACATCCAACCATTATTCTATTCCTAAACCTAACCTACATTATTTTCTTTAGCTATGTTTGTATCTTTTTGTTAAGTATGTCATTTTTTAAATTTTTTTTTAATGTGCATTATGGTAGGATGTAATATTAACCATTGTTTGAGTGTAACCGGTGGACTCTAGTGATGTCTGCGTTGTGTAGATACAAAGAAACCCAGACCGTGGATCTTCGGAGGCGATCTCCGTTCATTCCTCTCCTGACAACAGGTGGCAAAAACAAAATCCTCTGTCAAACACAACCATACAAACTCCAGCCTCTACACAAATTAAGCCACATAAGATTATGTCAGCATAATCTGCAACAGCAAAAGGGGAGAGGCAAGGCGGGAGACACCCCTTTATAGGTGGGGTACCCCCAAAGGTGAATGTAGGGGTACAAAAACTGGGTATCAAACGTTCCACATATTAGATGTGTAAATTTGCAGGAAAGCCCAATCAGTCTTTTTTCAGCATTGGCACTATAAAAACAAAATCGGAGAGTATGGCAAAATGCCGCCTACCTACTTTTGTTTATACAGAATGCGCCTTTTTTGGGGCAATGGGGGGCGTGAGCAAGTAACAAAACGTGTAGCTCAGCGTGTGACGTAAACAGTGATGTGGGAAAACTGCGGCTGGTCAGTCCTTCGGTGATTCTCTCGTAAGTTGGCCTGTCTTTCACCGTTCCCATCATCTGACGGTTAATGGACTCTTCGTTTGCGAGGACAAGGAGGGTGCACAATTCTTTGTCTCCACAGTTGCTCATCTTTACAGTGTCTGTCAGGGTTGCGTTTCCCTCTTGCTACTAGCTGCTCGCTAATTCCTGCTATCAGCTGTTTCCTGTTTATCCACCACCAGTGGGTCCTACGTGCGGCGTCATCAACAGCTCCTCCCACAAGTCATCAACAGCCCCTCCCGTTGCGGAAGGCCTCCTCAGTCTTTTTAAACTAAAAGGGTTCTGCCAATATGTCTACCCTACAAGGCGGAAAATTGGGCACCTCAGATCAACTCACCAATCCGGCTCTGTGTGTCTAAACGCTTGCAGCTTGCCGGCAAAACGCCCCAACATTTGCGGAAAATCGGGCAGTGTAAAAGGGGCTATTGAGCACGGAGGCCTAAGCATGTCAGCATGTAACACCAACTGAATCACATTTTGTTTAATTGTAATACTCAACATTACAATTGTACATTTGACTTGTCACACACATTACAGCTGTATATTTGACCCTGTTACATGAGGACACATTGTTCTGCAACATTAACTGTGAGGCTGTGCCATCCATGCAATAAATGAGTGCATTAATTTTGAGTGTGACTGAATCTTCATAGTAAATAGATAAATAAAAGATACCTTTAAAGACAGCAGTGATATATATTGCACTGCTATCTGTTGTTAGTGTTGTTTAACTTTGTTGTGTAATGAGTACAAGAGCTGATCTTGAGACTTATATGTAGTGTTTTGGTTGCACTGGTGCATTTTGGATGTGAGATCAACTGCTGTGTTGATTACATGAAATTCTTTTATCAGGATAACCCCTTGAGATGTACCATCTCGTTTTCGAGGGGGTCCTGAACAAAATACCACAAAAACATTACACTCATACTGCCAAGATAAACACAACAGAACAGAAACAAACAAACAAACAAAACAAAAAAAACACAAAACAAACAACAACAACAACAAAAAGTCACACAGAGCCTACAGTTACAACATAATAAATAACAGGGAATAATGATCATTAAAAATATAGCCAAGTGTTACTGTAAAATGTAAAATGTCAGTGAAATTGAGTGGTTCAGTAAAGACAGAAGAATGAGAAATGAGATAAAATTGGAAAGGTGTTATAGTCTACATGTACAGTTGGTATGAAAATGAGTTGCCAAGGCATGTTTAAACAGTCTGAAAGAAGAAATGGAGCGAATATTTACTGGTAAATTATTCCAGTCAGAAGGCGCTTTAAACATAAAAGCTTTTTTTGATGTGGACTTTGAAACATTAGGTACTGAAAAGAAAAGCTGTACAGTATGTCTTAAGTGATGAGTGGAGGGAAAAGGAACCAAATGCTGTTTCAAATAAAAAGGATAGTTGAAATTAACACATCTGAAGATAAATTGCAACCAGTGAATCTGTCTTCTTATATGAGGTGTGGGCAAGTCAAGAAGTTCATACACTGTGCAGTGATCAGTTGTGAATGAGCAGTTAAGAATAAATCTACACAATCTATTATAAACTACAGTAAGAGGAGCAAGAGAGGTATTAGAAGCAATGCAATACACAGAATCAGCATAATCCATTATTGGCAATATAAGTTGAAGAGCAATCTTTTTTCTGACTATAAGTGGGAAACAGTTTCTGGAATGGAAAAGGAGACCAAGACTATAATTCATTTTATGTACAATGTGATTAATATGGTAGTTAAAAGAAAGCTCAGAATCAAGGTATAGGCCCAGGTATTTGGTGTGGTCAACTTTCTGCAATGTAGTGCTATCCAGACAGGAAATACGACATGAATGTGTTTTGCATTTGGATTTGATGTTCTGTTGAGTGCCAAAAATCATAGTATGTGATTTAGTTTTATTGAGGAGTAACTTATTAACTGCAAGCCAGTGTTGTAAGTTATTAAAATCAGACTGTAAGTCTGCTTCAATCTGTACTATATTTGTATGTGATGTGTATATATAACCGTATCATCAGCATAAAGCTGAACAGAACACATACAAATAGAGGGAAGATCATTAATAAATATGGAGAAAAGAAATGGACCAAGCGTTGATCCTTGAGACACACCATACTGTTGAGTTAAAATGTCAGATTTGTTTCCATTAATAACAACACATTGTTTTCTATTGTGAAGGTATGAGTTGAACCAGAGTAATGCAGTGCGTGAAAGGCCAATAGCGTGAAGTTTATCCAGAAGAATGTAATGATTAACCAAGTCAAGCCAAGCCTTTGTCAAATCAATGAAAATTGCACCAATTAGTTCAGAAGTGTTCGAAGCAGTGAGAATACCGTTAGTTAGTTTTAGCAGTACAGCAATTGTAGAGTCATTGGAATGAAAGGCAGACTGAAAAGGTGACAGGATATTGTTTTGATTAAGATAGCATGACAGTTGATTATAAATTAATTTTTCAAACACTTTAGCAACAGAGCAGATGACAGAAATTGGTCTATAGTTGTTCAGATCTAATACATCGCCACCTTTATGTAAGGGAGTGATGTGGGAACATTTCCAGATACTGGGTAATTCAAAGGTGGACAGAGACATATTGAAGAGATCACATAGAGGATACATAAGTACATGAGCTGATAGTTTTAGAAATTTGGCTTCGATTACTAGGTTGTAAATTACCACAAAAAGATGATTCAGGCACTATAGAAGAAACTGATGAGAAGTGCTTATTAAAGGCTTGGGCCATTAAAAGTGGTTCTTGTAAGATTTTATTATTAACTTTAATTTGCTTAGGTACAGATTTGTTAGATGCATTAGTTATTGTTTTGATCTTAGACCAGAATTGTTTAGGATTTTTGAAGTTTTCAGTAGAGATTCTTTGTAATAATTAGATTTGGCATTTCTCGCCATGGTTTTACTTAGATTTCGTAGCCTCCTGTATTCATCCAAATCAGCATGATTCTTAGACTAATGAAATGTGGCCCGTGCAGCATCTCTCTGCCTGAAAAGACTAATTAAGTCAGCACTTATCCATGGAAGGTGCCTGCCTTTTACTTTGGTAGTTTTCAGAGGAGCATGTTTGTCAATAACTGTATTCAGTTCAGAATGTAAAAAATCCCACACATCCTGGACATCTG